ATGGGTTCATATAAAATAAATCAACTGCAGGAAAGTTTTACCTTATTTAAAAAGTGAGGATATCTTGATGGTTTTGCTACCGTCATAGAGAAGGGGCTGTTTGCCCCTGTGAATTCCTGTCTTTAGCTCTCAGCACGACATGGCAACTGTGGTGCTCATTCATCTACTCGCTGGGTATTTCTTGCTCCCCGTCTGCCTGGAACAGCGTGGAATCACACTTCCTGGCTCTCCTGTGGTGGGGTGGGGACTATGCAACCAGATTGACAGACATGCTGTGTGTCATCTCTGGGCTGTGTGTCATTTCATTGCCCGTAGCCACACCCTTCAGAGTTCTCTTTTTCCTCTGCTCTGATGGCAAGCTGCACGGCAGACAGTGGGTGCTCCAGGTATGTCCCAGCCCTTGAGTGAGGATAGGAAAGTGAACAGGAGCCCAGCTGATCCACACTGAGCGGAAGTGGAATAGAAGTCTTTGCTATGTTAAGGAGATTTGGGAGTTCTCACCATAGCATAATCCAGCCTTCCTGCCAGGTTCAGTGACTGCATCACCCATTACCAGGAAGATTGAGATCCTCCAGGAAAATCCCCTCAGCAGCCTTCTCATCATCTCAACTGGCTTCCGTCCTGCCCTCTGGGCCCAAGGGAAGGGCTGTTCTGTGCCCATGTCCTTCCCAATGCTCCTTTCTCTTCAAATGTTAACATATTCAGATTTGTGCAATGTTTAACGGTTCTCATTCAACCTTATGATGCCTTCCAATAGTCTCGGGCATTCCCTTCTATGAAACTTTCCTGTAGATAGTTTCTACAGCTGACTCAGCTATCTCTTCATTTCTTAAATACTTAAGCCTCTGTAAACTCATTTTTTTGTTCTAACCTCTTCATGAAGCTCGTTACTTAAAATTGTTTGGCTATATAGATCAAGGCTTACTCTCATTCCTGAATTCCAAGTCTTTATTTTTATCACAAAGTTATAGAATTTCAAAAATAAAAGGCAGAATGATGTGCTCTTCAAACTTTAATGTGCATAGAGTCACCAAGGTATCTCATTGAATGACAAATTCTGGGGCCCCACCACCAGAGATTCTGGTTGAGTCTGGGTTGGAGATTGGTGTCTGCATGGCCGTGAGCTCCCAGGGGTACTGATGCTGCTCTCTGCAGGCACACACTGACAATTTTTGTTTTCTCCAAGTCTAAAATGAAGACCAATGTCAGAAAGAGTAGCTCTTACAAATGGTCCAAGAAAAAAAGTCAGTAAGGTGCACACAGTTGGGAATGAGGGCAATGGTCCTATATTCTACACTTGACACATATTTCTGGAACTTGGATTTGGGATTGAGATCAAGGCTGGAGGCAAAACAACTTCTCTCTCCTCTTTGTGGAAAGAGCCCTGGTCCTGAAACACACATTCGAGTTCTATTTCTATGGGAAAAAGCAGGAAAATAATGAAATGATGAGAATTTTCTGTAAAGTTGCTGAGTTCTAGGAGTTACAAAAAGTTAAGTTAAACTGAACAGGCAATTTTCTAAGGACCTTGTTCTTCCTCTAGCTCCGTGGTCGGCAAACTGCAGCTCGTGAGCCACACGCGGCTCTTTGGCCCCTTGAGTGTGGCTCTTCCTAAGTCTTAGGAGTACCCTAATTAAGTTAATAACAATGTACCTACCTATATAGTTTAAGTTTAAAAAATTTGGCTCTTAAAAGAAATTTCAGTCGTTGTACTGTTGATATTTGGCTCTGTTGACTAATGAGTTTGCTGACCACTGCTCTAGCTTAATACCTTTTCTTCCCCTACAGCCAACTTATTAACATAAGGTAGAAATGTTGGCAACTGGAAAGATGCTATCTCATAGCAGTGGCTCCAGCCAAGGGTTTTCTCCTTCCCTCCCATCACTCTACCATTTGGCCATGACTAGTACCAGCTGAGCTCACCAACTCCCTGCAAGAACTTGACAAAATCACGAAACAGAGACTAAAGCTGAAGAAGGATTTTAGAGACTTAGAGTGGTCTGGCCCATTCATTTTATTTTAAATAGAAAACAGATTTGAAGAAGAGAAGTCTTTCCAGGCCATACAGAACAATGCTGACAGGGTCAGTACAATGAGCAAGGTCTTCTGACTCCCATTCCAGTTCTCTTTGACTACATCCTATTCTCATGGGATGGGAAAGAAGAGATGGACAGGACCAAGGATGACAGCAGGATGGGTTGCCTGAAGTTTATTCAGCTACCTGGAAATCCGGATGTAGTTTGAGTAGAGTTTTGTGATAATTCAGGGATGACATATATCAGGTATGGGAAGAACCTTTGAGACTAATATCCCAGCTTTGACAGTTGAAGAAACCAGAGATGACATTATACACATCCTTAGTATAAAAGTTACTGATTCCCTCATCTGGAACTTTCAAAGCTCGCATCCCCAACTTCTACTCTTTCTGATTTTCCCACTCCTGACACATTTGCAGTCCAAACACTGAGTATCCTTGGTCTTCTTAACATCTTGAAGGAAAATATTTTTCCTCCTTTCTAGAGGTTTTTTGCTTCCTTTATTGCTCAACCAGAGAGGAAAAAGATCAGTGTCTCAAGTGACATTGAAGGTGAAAAGCTGTCTAGTACTCCTGGCACCTCTGTGATTTCAACCTGAGATTTCACTGGCCTTGGCTTATTAATGGTGGTATATTAGGACCTAATTTATTCAGATTTCATCAATTTGGAATTAATGATAAATGTGATAGGGCTTAAATTGAGGTTTACTCTTGAGAATCAAAGAGAAAAAATTAAACCGAATTGTTAGAGTTGATGGTATTTAAAGGGGCCATTTAGCCTATTTAAGAGAATAATATTTTGTTGTTTTGTTAATCCTCACGTGAGGATTTTTTTCCCCATTGCTTTCAGAGACAGGAGGGAGAGAGAGAGACATGGATATGAGAGAGACACATTGACTGGTTGTCTCCTGCACATGCCCCAACCAGGGACGGGGAGTGGAACCGGCAACCCAGGTATGTGTCCTTGACTAGGAATCCAACCATGATCTTTTGGTGCCCGGGGCAACACTCTAACCACTGAGCAACGCTGACCAGGGCTAAGAGAATGATCTTTTAAGGTATTTTAGAAATATCATTTAAAGCATGTTCAGAACTCTTTGAACCATACCTCTTGACAATTTTCATATTAATTACCCATTATTCTTACCTGTTCAATAAGGAAGGTCTGAGATTTTCTGTTTGGGAACATGTTGCTAGTCTAATTTAGTCATTATATGTGTGTGTAAGCATTGTAATTAAATTGCACTTCTGTAAAAAATATATCTCCAATTCAGAATTTTGTTTTCCTTTGGGTTTCCCTCCAATAATGAATATAGATTAATGAAGCTTTTATAGGGTGTCCCAAAATTCACGCAAGATTTGAATTTTGTGTGAGCATTAACAACAACAACAAAAAATAAAAGCCTAATTTTACTTGGTTTATTGAATCAGATTCTAATATCTGTTGCCCTTTGATTTCAATCCCTTCAATTTGATAAGCATTACCAAGTACCAATTATGGCCCAGGAGCAGGGACAATGAAGACCAAAGACGACCATGGCTTTGCATATGTGCCAGCAAAACTGTGGAGGCCATTTACCTGATGTGCTATTCCATACATAACCCTATACTATATACTTTATGAATAAATAAAAAAATTTACAATTTTTAATTATAAACTTGTGTTTTCTATCAAAATTACTTCTTGCGTGAATTTTGGGACACCCTATATATGCTTGTAGTGTGTGTGTGCGTGTGTGTGTGTGTGTGTGTGTGTATGTGTGTGTACTTGCTATGAGCCATTATGGGTGAGAGCCACTATGACATAGAAGCAATGCACTGTAATAATGATTGTTAGTAAACAAATGATGTAGTGAGCAAAATGCATTTCAGAATGTGTGGTTATGTGTTATTATGCATTAGAGGAGTAAATAGGCTTATTACTTTGTCCTAGGTAAAGAATACCATTGGCAGGAGTAATAAAAGGATTTTTGAACGTAAGTGCATCACATCCAAACAGAAGGGTTTTAATCACAATGGAGCTGGGCTGTGGTAAGAGAGTCTAACTGGCTGTGGATTCTAGGAGCCATGGAGTCACTAGAGTTGGCCGAGGACATGTCCTATTTGTCAGCACTGCTTGCTGAACCTGAGCCCACCAGTGTCCAGGTGATGCTGAAAACTCAGAAACAGGACAGGAGATGATCTTGGCAGCATCAGTGAACATGTGCCAAAGAAGATAATATAAAAAAACGAGTCCAAAGAAAGAGAACCTGGAGCAAGGCTTCAAATCTAAATCAAGTTTCATGGTATAACTTGATTCACTCTTTTAAATCACATCGATATTTAACCACCTGTACTCTAATCACTCATAGTAACTACAAGAATTATAACTAAAACCAAACTGAGACCTACTGTCCAAGAATAATAGTGCTAGTGTAGATGAGTATGGATACAGAGTTATAACTCCTAATTATGTTTTGAATTGCTATACCTCATCCATTGGCACTTGTTCCATGTCTACCTTCCTATATTCCTTTTGTTCACCATTTACAAAAGCATTATTAAGGCCCAATTTGCATATCATACAATTCACTCATTGTAAGTATACAGTTGAATGATTTTTACTAAATTTTGTACAGTATGGCCGTCATCCTAATCCAACTTTAAACCACTTCTATCACCCTAAAAGTTCCCTCATTTCCACTTGCAGTCAATCCCTGCTTCTGCCCATCTCCAATGATTTTCTACATCCTTTCAGGATTTTTCATTCCATTTATTTATTTATTTAGTCTTTTCCCCCATTACCATTTATCCCCTCTATGTCCTCTTTCACATCCGTCCCCCCAGGCCCCCGCCCCACAATCACCACACTGTTGTCCATGTCTATGAGTTCTCTCTCTCTTTTTTTTTCTTTCTTTTCTTCTTCTTTTTTTTTTTTTGGCTCTGTGTTTGTAAAATTAAGCACATGGATACTTGCAGAGACATGTTATGTTGAAACAGCTTTATTTTTTTAATCCATAAATATATGTTACTGACAAAAGTGGAAAAATCCTTGACTAAATCTTACTAAAGTGATATCTGTTTACAGTACATATAGAATGTGCTTTGACAGGTAAGTAGGACGATGAGATTTGTACAGAGCAGCAGTGACGAGAGCACTGCTCATCACGAAGCTTGCTGATGGGGATGAAGAAACTGCAAGGTACAGACAGAAAGGTACTTCCATCAGTGCTACCATATAATAAACACGGAATCCATAAATTGGGGTAATGCGTAAAAATGTTCATTAATCCCCCCTTAGGAAATTGTGTCCCCAAACTAAAAATATTACAGTAAGAATTGCTTTTTATTAGAGAATTTCAAGAATTCTTTACTACAAAATGTCTAGTTGAGTTACAGAACTAGAGGAATATTTGCCACTATGAAGCACATGAATGAGTCCTCCCATGGAGTGGCACTCGAGGGTCCCAGCGGAGCGGGCAGCAGAGTTGAGCAGGGTTCTCCCTCTCCCTCAGGAAGGACATGAAGGGAACATGTAACGTCATTTCTCTGATGGATGAAGGTTGGTGCGTTTGCTGATTTACAAGATGGGTTTGATGATACTGACTTGGACTCTCAATCTTGCTTCACAAGCTTTCACCGGGAGGACAATGGTGTCCCACGGAGGGGCTAGTGAGGTACTAGGATGCCCAACTCCTAGCAGCCCAGAGGTGATGCTTCCCTTCCTCCAGCTGGAACGAAGCCCAGTGTCCAGACTCAGTCTTCAGGACCCAGGTTCTGGAGGGGGATATGACATCCATTGCCACACAGAGCCTCCGCCGTGAACGCTCCTCTGTGGCTTGGAATGCAGTCCCCACTGATCTCAAATACAAACATCATGCCCTTGTAGGCCAACCTCTGGACCTTTCTCTTCTAGCCCATCCTCTCTTTGAAATCAGAACTCCCTCCCTCCAGCTTTAAGGACCACATCAAAGTGAAAATTTCAAATTCAGAATTTCCCAATGACACAGATACCATAGATGACTTAGGCGTGTCTATATGTGAGGACTTCCATGACACACGGTGGGTAACCTATTGAATGGGTAGGCCCTTACACCTTCAGATATGAGAGCATCCCTAGGTGGCCAAGACCCTGGGCCCACCCAGGTTCCGGTGAGGAGTCTGGTGGCTGTCTAGGGCATCTAAGGTTGTCACCGTGGGGCAGCCTTAATGGGAACCATGCAGCTCAGTTGGGATGGGGGAGGAAGGTGAAGAAAGAAGGTTAATGAAAGCCCTAACATGTAAGAGCTGGATGAAACTTCAGAGTTCATCTAGTCAAAGCCCCTCATTTTACAGGAAACTGAGGCACTGAGCAAGAATAGGGCTTGTCCTCAGTCACACGGCAAGATGGAGACAAAGCCAGGGCAGAAGTGTATCCAAGAGACTCGGCCCCGAGCTTTTTCCTCCTGTAGTATGCTTCCTTCCGAAATCAAATATAGAGCTCAGGAAGACATATCTTTCATACTGACTCTGTCATTAAAATGCTGCATTTATAAAAAATAGCATCTGAACCCTGAAAAATACTTCATTAAAACACAACAAGCTTCCTTGAATATACTTCAGAGCAAAGTTTCCCAGGTTTAGGGAAGATGGTGGATGAATGTATGCGGGAGGTAACATGTCAACGCTTCCCAAAGCCGTGCCTTCTAGGGCCCAGCAGCCCTTTCAGAATACCTGGGGTCAAGTTCACAGTTGCCTGTGGATGGAGTCGGAGGATGGATGGCTGGTGGCAGACAAGGTATCTCTGAAGAAATGGATCTTTTGGTGGCAGGGTTGTTGGAATGGATATTTCCCCACACTTGGGGAGTCATGAGGCCATCCAGAATTTTGGGACAGGGAGATCTGTGACACACAAGCAGGACAGGTGTGAGGTGGAACAGTGGCCAAAAGCCCTCAAGGATATGAACTTTGGCCAGAGTAGGAACCTCTGGGCTAGGGCAGGCTGGGACAGCGGCTTAGGGGGTGGGCCTGGCAGAGATACCTCTGCCAGGGCAGCTTCTCTGGCTTCCCTCCAGAAGACCAGGGTAGGAGCCCTTGGCTACATGCCCTGGGGCATCACCTCCCAGGGGCAGGAGGGGAAGGATAAACCAACGAGGCAAAAAGATCTGAATGTCTCATTCTTTAAATGTTTTCACTGAGAGCTGTAGGTGTTACAACTAGAAAGTATAGCAAGACCAAGGAAAAGAAATTAGGGATGAAGAAAGGTAAGTTAAGGAAGAGGGCAAGGCCAGGGAGATGAGAGGAAGGAAAGACTTAACTAGCATAAAAGACTGAGTGTATGAAAGAGTTTTGGAGTGGGAGAGTGGAAAAAAGGAGAAATTTGAATGAAAAGATTTGGAACTTTCTAGAAGGCAAACCCATCACCCAAGAGACTGGGGAGCCAAGTGAGGGGGTTAACAGAATTCTTGGGAAAGCCTCTGTGACTTAGGAACTCAGGGAGTCAAGAGTTAACTGGAGGAGCAAGACGGGGAAAGTGGGAAGGCATGGGGGATTGTGGGAGCTTCGCTGTTATCGAAGGCCAAGGAACCAGCAAGAATGTTCAGGGCAGGAGAGAACCTGGCAGATCCCAGTCCATTCCAATCAGATCAATGGAGACTCGCACAAAGAACAAAGCAAGCAGAGGAACATTCTGGACTCTGGGCTTCCCTTGCTAGGGGAGGGGGACTTTCATTGTGGGGCAGGGCCTGGTGGGGCAGAAGTCGTGACATCTGGGTTCTAATCCCAGAACCCTTGCTTATCTGCTGCCTGAACTTGTCTAGTAATGTGGCTTTGCTTGTTCTGCAAACTTGGATGGACCAACCAAATGAGTGAGACACTTGTGTGTTCTAATTAAGATGTCATTTTATGGACTGAATTGAAGTAAATCTGTGGACTTCTCTCTTTCTCTTCCCTCCTTTCCTCCCGGACCCCAGCGTGAAGCAGAAGAATCATTGAAAAGAAGTTGGGGCTCAGGTAGGATTTTCTGATCTGACTCACCCCAGAGGTTTTACACTGGATAACGGTAAGGCTGGGATGAGAGACATTTTGGAATCAATCTTTCAAACAACCCCTGAGACAGAAAGACAGGGCCTAGGAGAAATGTCATCCTGAGGCCTGGGGAACTGGTGCCAAGATGCGTCTCACAGGATGAGAGAGATGAGATCAGGTTTCTGGTTTGGAGAGTAGTGTGTATAGACACATGGGGAGGCCTTTCTCACCCACCCATATCCTTTCCCCTCTGCACCAACAGGCAGCCTTCCAGGGACTGGCCCGGGGCTGGATTAGAGGGCAGTGGGTTTAGGGACCAGCTGTGAGAGACACTCCTTTGTTTCTGGGATGGGCCAATTGCTCTATTTAGGGTGATTTCCTCCAGCCTAATCCTCTTAGCCTCCCCTCTGGAACAAACTCTCATAAACCCAGGGGCCAGCCCTTGGGAAGGTTTATGTGTTTGTAGGGGAGGAAAGCAGAGCTATCCCTGTCCTCACAGCCTCACAGGACACTACCCCAGTGGGGGAGCTGAGGGCTGTGTTCACCACCCTGAGCCCTAATACCCTCATGATTATGTGATTATGGGAGCCTTGGGAGGAGACAAGAGCTTTGGAATTCTTGAAATAAGTCAGAGGAATCAGTCAATTGATTTCTCTGTGGTTGTGGACTGGGTTAGACTAGAAAATCCCAGGGCTGACACTGGGGAGCTCTCCTGCCCCATCCCCGCCTCCCTTTTTAAGGGCCGTACATATTACATGCAGAACTGGGGGAATCTAGAATCCCAGTTCAAGGTCATTGTTTCCGGAGTCTGACTGTGGAGAGTCACGTTTTTAGTATCAGACCTTCTCCCAATAGTTTGGAGCTGATTTCTCCAGCCCCAGCCCCAGCCCAGGGAGGTGCCCTGGCCCTGAGAATGGGGGAGCCCCTTCTCTCCCCACTGGCTCTGGTCTTGAGGGAGTGGATGCTGCTTAGCTCACCGTCCAGTCTCCAGGAGGCGGTCACATCCTGCCCTGCCCCATCTGGAGGCAAGGAAGGGGCTGAGATAGGCCGGCAGGAGCTGGCCCCCCAACAGAGCTGAGGGAGTCGATTTGCCTGGGGCCTGTGTCCCCTGCAGGGGAGAGACTGGGGTGCTGCCCAGTTAGCCCCAGACCAATCCCTGGAGTACCATTATTTGCATTTGCTACTGAGCCTCTGTCCCTTTGACCCAGAGGAGGCACTGGTCTGAAGAAGCAGCAGCCAGGAGAGAATGATGGAGCTGCAGGAGGTGGGGGCTGGAAACAGGCAGAGAGCAAATTCCACACCAAGATGGGGTCAGAAGGTGGGCAGTTATGGGGACGGAGGAGTGGATGAGGTCCAGGACTACTACGCACGCCCTCCTTGACGGGGAGGGGGTGCGGGGCTGCCCCTCTTCAGAAGCCGCTGTCTCCATCCTGTCTGACCTGCGTGCTGGGAGACAGGGGGACCCCTGGATGATGGGAACAGCAGCCCCTGAGACCTTGGGCGTCACAGTGGCCTCCCCACCTGCAGCTGTCTGGCCATGGCAGAAGCCTCCAGGGGGCAGTGTAGGGGAGGGGAAGGCAGGCCTGAGTGGTGGGTCATAGTTCAGACCTAGAGGCCTGGAGGAAGTGTGGAGATAATCGGGTTGCTAGGGAGAGTGTCCCAACAGTCCCTGCACCTCCTAGATACCCTCTTCTGAGGGGGCTGGAGCAATGCCCTGGGGAATTCAGGGTGAAACATCTGGGGCTAGGGGAGGGGCAAAGTCCCCCCAGAAGAGGATGACTGACCCTGTGGGTGGGGCAGGCAGCTGGAACTGGGCAGGCTTCCCAACAGTGGGGAGGCAGCAGAAGAAAGGGACTTGGGGGAGTCCCTCATCCAGGGCTTGGGGGAGGGGCAGGGTTCAGGGTGGGGCCTCAGGGGCTCAGCAAAGGAAGGGCCACTCAGTGGGTCCGAGTCCAGCAGGCCGAGGAGATCGGATTGTGCTTATGGACACAGCAGCTCCCTGGCTCCGGAGCGCGCAGGCAGTTTTAGGCACTAGAAGATTCCTGTGGTGCGGTTCTAGGTAAATGAATGAGACCGAGTAGCCTATTCGGTCAGCCACTGATTGCACCCGCTGGCCAGTTCAAACCCAGGCAGCTTCCGCCGGGGTCAGGCCAGGGCCTCCTGGCTGACAGGCCTGCAGCTGAGCCCCAGGAAGGGAGAGAGGACGTGGAACTGGAAGGATTGCTGGGGTTGGGGTGGGGGTGTGACTGGGCTTAGTCCCGCTCCTCACCCCCCGGACTCTCCTGGGAGAGGGAGTGACTGCCCTGATCCCAGGTCTGTGCAGCTGTGCCAGGCCACATGCTGTGCCGGGGAGTATGGCTTTCGGGTGAAGATAGCCCACCCCCACCTCCTGCAGAAGGAACAAGGGACGGGAGCCCAGGGGGCTAGAAGCGCCGCCCCAGGCCCCTCCTGCCCGCCCTGCTCCGCCAGTCGCCGGGCCTGTCCAGGGGGTCACACGGTCACTTCGGTCTTGCTGGCGCTGTAGCAGGTGTGGTGGCCGGGGATGTAGTGCAGCTGCTCCACCGTGTTGTGTCTGCGCGAGGCGAAGGCCTGGCGCTTGGCCGCCGTCTGGCTCTGGCCCAGCGTGGCGTAGGAGTTACTGGAGGCACTGGGATGGGAGTGCATCTTGGTCATGCGGTAGCGGTCCAGCATGGGCGTGGACACGAACACGTCCGTGTGCGAGATGGCCCTGGCCAGGGACTGCTCGGGGAAGGCCGTCCGCTCGGGGGACAGCAGAGGGTCCTGGGAGTGCAGGCGCTCCGTGGACAGCAGCTGCTCGTCCGACAGGATGCGATCATAGGGCATGCGGAACTCGTCGGGCAGGCGCCGCTCCGGGGAGGGCTTCTGCTGGGACATCTGGATGACGTTGACGGGGAGGGTGCCGCGGGCCGCCAGGTCGGGCAGGTGCCGCCTCCTCATGTAATACTCATCAGCCTCTTTGTCGGCTGCAGGACAGACAGAGAGAGAAGTCAGCTGGCAGTTGGAGGGACAAGGTGACACCACGCGGCAGCCAGGACGGAGCTAGGATCCTGCAGCCCAGGCAGATGGGAGCTGTGCCTCTAAGAGTCCCGCGGGCTCTTGTGAACGCTGGATTCCTTCTCCTGAGTCTGGGGCTGGCCAGGAGTCTGCTCCCAGGCAGTGCTGGGCCCTGTGGAGGCCCACCTGAGTGCCCCGGGGTTGGGGGGCTCCTCGAGTCCCAGGGAGTTCATGATAGCACAGAGGACAAGCCCTCGCCCCCAAGTCCTGCTGGGTGCTGCTGCTACCACCCCTATCCTGCAACAGAATGGCTCCTGGTGTTGCTGAAACTCCCAGGGGGCAGCCGGCAGCTGTCCCATGAGGCTCGGAGCCTCTCTCCAAGGGACTGAGTTGCAGAGCCAGACTCCTGCTAGACGCAGTGGTTCTCAACCTTCTGGCCTTTTAAATACAGTTCCTCATGTTGTGACCCAACCATAAAATTATTTTCGTTGCTACTTCAGAGCTGTAATGTTGCTACTGTTATGAATCGTAATGAAAATATCTGATATGCAGGATGGTCTTAGGCGACCCCTGTGAAAGGGTCGTTCGACCGCCAAAGGGGTCACGACCCACAGGTTGAGAACCGCTGTGCTAGAGTAAAGCTGCGCCAACCGCACTTGTGAGAAAGCTAAATTGGTAACTTAGGAACTGAGTAACACTTTCTCTGGAGTAAGAGCCCATGCACAGGAAGCCAACACGTGGGTATCCGGCCCCCACACACCACAGAATCAAGCCTACACACACCCCTCGTGTGCACATCTGAGCAGGCCAGAACAATCTGCACCTCATTCAGATGCTCCGCCCTGGTCTCCAGGCAGGAGGCCCTCCCAGACCCACTGCCTGCTGAACCCTTGAACTTACCCATGATACATACACCTATTTTGCCCCAAATTTTAGGAATGGGGCTTCCCACAGACGGACTTTTCAATCTCTGCAGAATATGGGAATGCTGACTGCTCCTCAGTGTTCCCAGAGGGCAACCAATGGCTAGGTCCTGCCTCCTGAGCCACACATCCTCTCAGCCTAGGCATTCATAAGTCCTCAGGTCATTGAAGATCCCCTCTGCTAGCCATGGAAACTCACCATTCCACCTGATCTGGACTCATGATGGCAGATTAACCCATAGCTTCAAGCAAATACTCAGTCCTGCAGTTGGGTGGTGCTAAAAACAGACTTATGGGGAAGTGGGGGCAGCAGTTCCAAGGGTGGGAAGGTAGGAGGGAAGAGCTCTTCCACCACGTATCTTCTAGTCATTGTAACATCTTAAACCAATCAGGCTGTATCTCATATCCCCATCAATCCCTAGAGCCTTCCAGACTCAAATGCAGACCTGGGATTATTGGATGAACTGGATCAACTGATCAAATGGGATATGTATGTGAGAGTGGGGAGTCTCAGGTTCTCAAGGCAGTGTTGGCTGGATTAGGGAGGCAGGGGTTTAGGGGCCCTTCCACAGCGAGGTCTCTGTGAGGGGACTCAGAGAAAGCTCTGGTGTTGGCCGCCTCTACTCCAAGATCTTGAGGGTGAGAAGGCCCGTGGTTTGAAGATGGTAGGTATGGGGCAAGGCTGGGGAAGGGTTCTCTCCTGCATGCCTTCCGGAGAGATGTGGACCTGAGGATTCTATGGCCTCTGTTCAATCTATAGGGCAGTGATGGCGAACCTTTTGAGCTCGGCATGTCAGCATTTTGAAAAACCCCAACTTAACTCTGGTGCCGTGTCACATATAGAATTTTTTTAATATTTGCAAACATAGTAAAACAAAGATTTGTATTTTTGATATTTATTTTATATATTTAAATGCCATTTAACAAAGAAAAATCAGCCAAAAAAATGAGTTCACGTGTCACCTCTGACACGCGTGTCATAGGTTCGCCATCACTGCTGTAGGGGAAATAGGCTTAGGCCCCAAAGAACAAAAACAAGGAGCTTGTCCATTGTCTTCTTTCATGCTACCCTCACTCTGTTCTTGGGACTCCACACCAGTCCCTCAGGTGTAGGGCAAGAGAGTGAGACCAGGAGGATGACACGAAGGCTCCAGAGACAGACCTGGGATGACCCACTTACTTAGCCTCTTCAGGGAAGAGTACTTGCTGGGGTGGCTCTTCATTGCGGACTCGTAGGATGGGGGCAGGTGAGCCAAGTTCTGGAAGGAGCGGGAGAAGGAGAGGTCGTAGGGCTCAGTGGCTGATGTCAGGATGTTGTTCATTCGTGGCTTCTCTGTAAAAGAAGGGAGGGGTGCATCACATTAGTGAGGACGAAGGCTGGGGAAGGCAGGGTCCAAGCTGTATCTCATATCCCCATCCCACTTTCCTGGCCCCAAGTGCTAGGACACAGATGGTGCTGGTGACTCAGTTTCCCTCAGGCTCAGTTCCAGCTGTCAACAAGCCTGGGTGCAGGTGCTGTTATGTCTGCCACTGGCCATGATGGCAGTTTTCCCTCCCTGAGTGGCAAACTCTTTCTCCTGGTGCACCCCTGGGCTGTCTGATAAAGATGTGAGCCTGATGGACCTGGGGCTACAGGGGCATGGCTGTAAAATTATGTTTGGGCATGAAAGTTCTGTCCTTTCTCTAATAGTTTTAGGCAAACCTAGTTCCCTGGCCCAGAAAAATCTGAGTTTGAAGGAGGAGGAATGACTGGTCTTGTCTACATACCCACAGAACTGGGTGCAAGACCTGGTTCCACTGAGACCCCCAACCCACACTGTCCATGATGTCATTTCACCTCTCACATCGCCACTTCCACCTCGGGCCTCTCCAAGCCCTGTGCCTGATAAGGCACTGTGAGCTACAAAACCATTTCCTCTCCTTCCATTTTCTTCCCTTGAAGCCCCCTTAGCTACCTCTGAGCTGAGGGAGGAAATAAGGAAGTAAAAAATGCTTAGCACATCATTCCCCTTTTCTCCCTCCTTCCCTTGAGATTCCAAAACCTGAAGAGAGAGAAGGGAGTGTTGTTTAGTGCCAGACATGGGTAAAAGAATAGGGGAAGGAATAGAAGAAAAGATGCAAGCGAGATAAGGTGAATGACTGATGAGGTGAATGAGCTGAACTGGGCTCTGGGGGCCAGAGTAGGAATAGCACAGGAATTGGGACGTTGGGATTGGGGAGATGCAGGTGTGGGTGAGGGAAGGGACGTGACAGTGGAGGACAGAAAGGAATGCAGATCTGGGAAAGGAAGACAAATATATCTTGGTGCTGGACTGACTTGAGGCACAGCAAGCAGTCAACAGGTATTCCTGGGGAAACAGTGGTACCATTCCGGAAATGAGACAGGTGAGTGGCTCTCGCATTATCCCCTCCATACACTTTGCTTTGGGACACCAGAGAAGGGGCAGGCTCTAACCCTGAACAAATGTAACAGAGGATTGGGGCTCCCCATGCCTCTTGGCGAAGAGAGTGCTAAACCCTAGAAGACAGTAATTTTGTGAACCATGGGACAAAGAGAAGCACTCCTGAGCTTAGTCCAAAGGCAGCTTCAATACAGGGCATTCCTGGCTTCTCTATCCTGTTCTGCCGTCACTGGTTCCCGCAACTCAGGGGTTGAAAACAGGAAAGCCCAGCTAATGAGCTACTGCTCACACCAGCACATATGCGAGGGGGTGGGGGATGCTCTGAGAGATCAGAACATGCTGTACAGAAAGAGCCTCCCTGGCATGGATTGGGATAGATGCCAGGACATGGAGTGGGCAGGAAGCTGAGAGCACTGCTTGTGGAGCTGGGGACAGCCACCTGCCCCTTCGCTCTGGTTTCTTCACTTTGGCCATGCAGGAGAAGAACGAACTTCCCTGTTGGCATTATCCTCCCACTGAGGGCACCATTCAGCTCGCCCACTTCCAAGTGCAACCTTTCTGGGTGCTCTTATCTGGCTCTGTTCTCCAAGACAAGCCACTGCGGACAGGCCAGGTCTTCCTTGCCTTCTGCCTCCACATGATTGCCCTTGCCTCTTGCTTCTGCTTTCTCTCTGATTGCAATGCCCTTCCTTACTCTTTCTCTAGTCAAATTTCCCTTCACTCAAGACCCTTCGATATGATAATGTCACATTTGTTCAGCCCACAGTGATTTCTAGTCTTCAAGGACCTATGGCTCTTCTGGTCAATGCCATCCACTATATGTCTACGTGATCTCTAATCATTTTACTTGAGTGATCTTCATCTCCAAAGACCGTGGTCTCCTTGACTGCAGAGTTCTTGCTTTCCAATTTTCCTGATGTCTTCATAGTGTTTGGCTCAAGATAATGATCCAATTAATTTTTTTTGGTTAATCAAGTGGACACAGGTCGCCTCCTTTCTTAATAGTTGCTCTGCCAGCTCCTGGGAAAAGCATAAGAGTAGAGAGAAAACTCTGCCTCCACTAGGTTGTGAGCTGCTCAAGGGCAGGGACCAGGTCTCATTAACCTCATCTCCTGATACCAGGCAGAAAAAGAAAGTAGGAGGATGGGGAAGAAAAAAATATTTCTCCTGTTGTGATTAGGAGGCTGTGCTTGTGTTGGCTCCTTCTGGGGAAAACCAGCGCATGGCGGTTCTTTCAGGATGTCACTGAGATATGAGGCATTCTCCGCTCGCCCTTCCTGGCTTCTCTTCCTGCTGCTGCTTCATCACCAGGGGCATCCCCCGGGCTCTCTGTTCTGCCTTCTGCTTTTCTCTGTCAGCCTGCTCGCACAGATTGCTCCCACTCCCAAGGCTTCTGTTACTGCTTCCAAAGCATAACTTACATCTTCAGCTGTAACCTCCCTCCAGACTTGTACGCATTTCTAACTGCTTCTTGAATGATTTTTTTTTTTTGCACATCCTATGATCATATCCAGCTCTAAATGTCCAGATCCGAACTCACCATCCTAGCTCCATCTCCTGGACCCACTGGCTGCTTTCCTTATTCCTTACATTGTATTAATAAGACCCCCCCATTCTTCTAATTAACCATAGCTCATTCATAATTGACTCCTATCAGCCATATTGGTTAGTAATTAAATTTTCCCGATTCTTTCTCCAAAATGTCTCTATTGCCACTCCCAACATCACCATGCCTAGAAATGGTGATGAATGAGAAATGGTATCAACTTTTAACTGATCTCTTCAATTTCTCCCAGTTCTAATTTTTTCTAGATGCCCCTCCCCCCCCCAACCTGAAACATCTTATTAAACTGTTGCTTTCATCATCACATATTTACACTAGGAGCCTTGCACTGGAGGGGACATGAAAATAACCCACTCAGTCCTCCTCTGTAGTACCCCTCCGTCTCAACGCCGAAGCAGAGCACACTCAGATGTGAGAGAGGTACGTCTCCGCCAGGTAAGCTGTAGAATGTATTCTTGTTTTGAGTTTCTCTCTCACTACAATTCAATGGTGTTTTCACATTCTTTCAAGCAAAGAGAGGAGAATGACTGGTAGTTCACCATTTACATGGCTGTCTGATGTTCCATCAAGTTCTGAGCAGGTACCCAAAATAGTTTTGCTCTGCAGTTCCAACTGTGAAGTTGTGAATTGGCGGCAGGATGTTAGCACCTAAGGGGGAAACGTGGTTTGCTACCCTTGCACACTATGCCGATTCTCCTGTGCTCCCCAACTTTCAGCTTCTTCCCCTGCCAAGAGGCTGAACCTCAAACAACCCAGTTTGGTTTTGAGTTTCATCAAATCTTGATTAGTTTGGAAGGATCAATATAGTTTAACGAGTCCCCTGTCATTTAATATGGTACCACAGGTAGCCTTGGGCGAAGGAGCGTGTTCACTCCTTGCTGTGGATATATGGAATTGATGACTGCAAGTGAAAATGGGTTGAGAAAGGGTATCGCTTTTTCTCGTTCATGATGGAAGATCACTCTGATATCAGAGACAGAGCACTGAGGGAACAATGATCTAGAAGTGAGAGTGAGGCACTGTGGCCCTGGAGGAAGGTGGACCCCTGACTCCTGACACCTCCTTAGCTTCAAGGAGTCAGTGACTGAATGTCGGACGCCCTGGTGGGCGTCAGCAATGAGGATGGAGCCACTTGGAATGAGGATGGAATGCAGGGGACTCTCAGCCATCTCTCACCATGTGCAGGGGTCTGGGTAGCACTGCTTAAAATCGGATGGTTATACTGATGATCACCTGAAAGTCATAGAAAAGAACATTTTAAAGAAGAGTTCATGCATTGCATTGTCTCTCCAACACAGCAGCTCTTCCCTTGGCCTGCGATGTGCTTCTCTGAGTCAAATGAAGCACGTCTTAACGGTGCAGGACTTTTGAAGTCATAGAAATGTGAAGAGCAGGGGACAGAGTATTAGGCTCAAAGAACCTTCCTCTGCTGTTTCTGTCTCTCTCCTTCTGCATCAGGGCTTCCTCTGTCACCATGGTGACCCACCCACAGCTGTGGATCTGGCTGACCAGCGATGGAGGCTTTGCTGGGGAGAGTGCGGGTGGGGAGACTATACGGTGGAGAACTGGGCTGGGGAAGTAGGTCCTTCTTTGAGGAGGGGTTGTTAGGGTGTAGTTAGCCAGGAAGAGGATGCTCTAATTTAAGGTGCTTACACCGTATGAGGTTTTGGTTTGTCCCAAGTCTTTTTGTTGTTGTTGTTAATCCTCACTGGAGGACTGCTGTTTTTTGTTTTTGTTCTTGTGTTGCTGTTTTTTTTAGAGAGAGAGTGGAAGGGAGGTAAGGAGGGGGGAGAGAGAGAAACTTCCATGTGAGAGGGACACATTGATTGGTTGCCTCCCACAAGTACCCCAACCTGGGCTGGGGATCAAACCTGCAACCCAGGTATGTGCCTTTGACCAGGAATCAACCCTGACCCTTCAGTGATGCTCTAACCACTGAGAAGCACCAGCCAGGGCTGTCCCAAATCTTTATCCACAGGTGTCTGGCTACATCCTGAGATATGGCAAGGTGACGTGAAGTGTCCACTGTCTGGCATTGGTAGTCTTGGGGTCTAGATTGTGTCATACCTATAAATGACACAGCCTGATATTTAAAAACACTTATTTTGCCCTGGCAGGTGTGGCTCAGTTGATTGGAGCATTGTCCTGTATACCAAAAGGTCACAGGTTCAATTCCCATTCAGAGCACATACTTAGGTTGTGGATTTGATCCCTGGTCCAGGAGGCAATGAATCGATGTGTCTCTCTTCTCTCTCTCTCTCTCTCTCTCTCTCTCTCCTGTTCCCTCTCTCTACAATCAATAAGCTTGTCCTCAGGTGATAATTAAAAAAGAAATAATAATAAAATAAAAAACATTTATTTTAATTAATAATGCAAAATCCACATGGATTAAACAAACTACAACATGAATAGAGTTACAGTTGCCAAAGCACAGAATTCAAGAGCTTTTAAAACTGAGTGAAGGTTTGGCTTATCACTAAAGCACACATTGACACTGTAGTATTGCTTAAATTCAACGTTGCATTTTTATTTTTCAAAGGTACATTCATCTAATTTCAGTGAAAGCCGGGGGAGAAGAGGCATGAGGTCTCTGCTTTAATTTATCTAAACCACGGATCACAGCTCTGCCATCGTCTTAGGGCTACATCTGTGTACACCTCCTTATGTCTTATAATTGAAACCATCTTTCCTATCCTGGGCATTGTGTCCTCTGGCTCCTCATCCTCCAGCTCCTTCACTAGATCCCCTTTCCTCTTCGCTTCTCTACGTGCCAGTGCTCCACAGGCTCAGGTGTCTTCATGAAGAATGAGGCTCTACCTTCTCAACGCTACCCCTCCAGCTGGAGGCCCATCTGGTCTGCGGGGCTAGAGTTTAAACTGCTTATGGACAGCCCATTGAAGTTTATGCCCTTAGCCTGAGCTATTAAAACCCAAAGTGAGCTCATCATTTTTTTTGTGCAATGTTCAAACATCTGTCTGTCTATAGTACTAATGTTCCCTGGGCATGTATTGTGAAACTTCGGTTGTCATTCCCCATTTCTCTCCCTTCATCCTCCATATCCAACAAGTCCCCAAATCCTGTCCGTATAGCCATCTCCTAAATCCAGGCCCACAATATATCTTTTTGTTCAGGTTTCATTTAGCTCTAATCTCTGGCCATTTCTAAGACAAATCATCTTGTGTACCAGACAAAATTTTCCATACCAACAAAACCATTACATCATCCCATTGGTTCAGAACACTCTTGAAATAGCCATGGACACTATCCAATGGGGTGTGCATTTGGGAAGTAAGCCAGAGTTCCTCACATGAAGATATTCTCCTTTCCTAAGACAGAATATTAAGTATATCCAGGGAAAACATTTGCCAAAGGTTAAATCAATTCTGTACTGCATCTGGATTTAAGCAAGGACAGAGAATCCAGGAAGGGGGATAAAGGATAGATATTTTCTGCCTAGCCTCCTGAGGCAAGGTGAAAACCAGTTTCATTGTCCTTTTGTTGTTTGTTTGTTTGTTTTTAAGCAATATAGCAGCATCAAAGAGGCCCCGGCAAGAAATGAGAGGACCCAGGTGGAATGGTGGAGTGCCAGTTAGAGAGAAACACTTCTCACATTCCATTAATAGAGTCAAAACTGCCACAGTGACATTTTATTGTATTTTCTTTTCTTTTCCTCTCCCTGTAAATCACTATATGTATGTTTGTTTTCTCTCACCCCTCCCCTGTTTCCCTCGCCCTGTCTCTCTCAATATTGCTGTGAATAACCTGTAGCATTTTTCTTTTTGAGAAGAGTGAGAATTAGATTACAGCTCTTAAACTGTAGAAAAATATGGTGATTTGATCTTCACACTTGTGCAAAGTAGCAAACATGTGAGGTTTTTCATTGCAGCATGTTTGTAGCAGCAAAAGGAAGGAAATAACCTAAATGTTTATACATATATGTACATACACACAGATAAATATGTATGGTTTCCACATATGTATGAATGCTATATGTGCTATTTTAACCTGTTGCCTTTATACTTAGTGGACAGCATATCTTGAATATACTTTCATGTTTTGAAATGTTCTTCAAAATATTTTATGTGGTTTTACACTAGTCCTTTCTGTAGAACAGCCTACTTTATATTTCCATATATAAGTGTAATATGTTTATTTAATATATAGACTTAAGAATTCCCCTATTACTGTGTATTTAGGTTGTTTAAAAGTTTAATAATGGTACATCAAATAGCCGTGAACATAAATCTTAGGCCATGTCCTATTTTCTTAAATGAATAGCTAAAAGCAGCATTTCTAGGTGAACACACTGCCAGTTGCCTGGCAATGTGATGAAGTGGACTGACAGATTTCCTCATGTTGAACCACTCATCGGTTCCTGGGCAATACCTTACTTGATTTTGTGTCATATTCTTTCACTACAACACTAGATACTATTTGTTTGTATATATGTAATTTCTATAGATTCAGAAAATTTGTATTTTTGTGCTAACATGTAAGCTTTTTATATCAAGATAATGATTTTGTAAAGTCAAATGTATATTGTTCCACCTTTCTGTATGCCTTGAAACTATTAATATCACATATGAAATAGTTATTCTTTGGAAGCCTGAAAGAATGAAAAATAAAAATGCCTGGTGTCTTGGGAAGTCCTAGTGGCCTTGTGTAGGGTTGGCTTGTTATTTTGTTGACTGCACAACAACTTGGGGAGATAGATATTACCATTCAGAGTTAGGGACACTAAGGTTTGGAGAGGGGCAATAATTTTCCCAATAGGTGATGCTGGGGTGCAAACCCAGGCAGGGTGGCGCCAGAGCCCACAGCCCTACCCATCATGCAGACTGCCTCACATGCTTGGCAACTTTTTCCTCGCATATCGATTCATTCATGTTTTTTGCTTGTAAATTAAATCCATAATTTCCGTTTTTCTTAAATAAATCCATTGGACATTTTAAACTTTACTATTAGCTTAAGACTGAACATCCCCTCAAAAAACTATGCATGTGAAATTATACCCCTTTTCTTATTCTTAATTTTCTGTGTTAATGTTTTGTTGATCAGCAATTTATTTGTATTACTAGAGGCCCAATGCACAAAATTCATGCAAGGGGCTCAGCCCTCGCAGCCCCAGCTGCCTCACCGCCCCTCAGCCCCACCCACTGGTCATTCTGGAAGGTTGTTCCAGAAGGTTGTTCCCCTGTCTGGTCTCATTAGCATATTAGCTTTTCATTATATAGGGTTATTCTTTTTCAAAGAACTACCTCTTATACATGCAGATTTATTTATTTTTTCTTTTTGTCTTCAAATCCTCACTTTGTGCTTTTGAACTTGCTCGTTCCTGCCTCGTAATTTTCTTTGGTTCATTATTGTTTCCTAATTCCTGGGCCTGAATCTTTAGTCCATTTTCGGGGCCCTTTTCTGGTAATATAAGGCGGTTAACTGGAAACCTGTCTCCAGCCCTATCCCCTGAGCATCGATACAGAATGTTCTGATTGTTGCTGTTCCTGAATGAGCTGTAATTGCAGCCTTGCTTTTCTCTCTGACCCGGAGTTCTTGAATAGAGTGTTGTTAAATTTCAAAGTGTTTGGATTTGCTGGTTTGAACTTTTGCCATTAATTTTCTGTTTTATTGCACTGTGGTCAGAAAACAGAGCCTGTTCAATTTCTGCTTTTTGGAATTTATTGAGATTTCCTTTATGGGCTAATATATGATCTATTTTTGTAAATGTTTCCTGAGTACGTAGAGAAAAGGTATATTTTCTTTTTGTAGAGTACAAAGATGACATATATTTATTAAATCAGACACATGAAATACATTATGCAGTTCCTCTCTATCCTAATTCATTCTTCGCCTACTTAATCTGTCAGAGGGGAAGGGAGGTGTGCTAAGGTCTCCTGCCACTGCTGCGTACCTGTCATTTCCTCTTTATACTTGGTATAGAATTGGTTTAGGTATTTCATAGCTACATCATTCCCCACAAAAAGGCTCGTGATGCTACGTCTTCTTTGGGGCTTGCTCCTTTTATCCACATGAAGCAACCCTTTCTGTCCTATTTAATGCCCACTTTACATCCTCCCAATCTGTTATTTATCTTACCAACCCCCCCTTCTCTTTATTTGCTTTTGCCTGATAAACTTTGCCCATCCTTTGACATCTAACCTTTCTGTGGCATGTTGTTTTATGCGCGTAGCCTTTGCAATATTTAAAGAAAATTGACCTGTGTACTTTGGCACTTT